GGGGAGGGCTGCTGTCATGATTTCCGTGGTCAGGTTTTGGTAACATGAAGGCTATGCAGTTGGGGGTTCCTATTTAAGAAAAAGAAAACAAAATTATAAATACAAAATTAGACCTGGGCTGTGGCAGGGGCTCTTGGAAGTGGGGACCATTAACTTTGTTAGCTTCAGGTGCAGTGGCCTCTGGCCACGAGGACCCATCCTCGTGCTCTGAAGTTGGAGGGACCAGTGGGTTCAGTGGGAATGTTTACTGAGTGTATCTCATGGGGTGGGCGTTGTCCTGTTTGCACTGTGTGTTCCTTATTTGAGACAGTGAGCTCATTTAATCTCAACAGCCTCTTTAAAAAATTAGACTTTTTATTTTGAGATACAGTGTAGATTCCCATGCAGTTGTAAGTGGTAATAGGGAGAGAGCCTATGGACTCTTTGCCCGATTTTCTTTAATGATACCATCTTGCAAAGTTGTGCTACAATTCATTATTAACTCACTAACCTTTTGAGGTTTGTGTTATTACCCTCATTTCTGTTCATGATTAAACGGGGGCTTAGAGAAGCACACAGGCCTGCCCAGGTCACCAACATGGTTAGTGCAGAGTCAAGGGTGGAACGTGGGCTTGGGATTTCCAGGCAGTACCATTATGATGGTCTGAGGCAGGGAGCAGCATTCACTTTGCTTGTTTATTCATTCATTCAACAAACATTTATTGAGTAACCTCCGTGGGTCAGATGCTTTCATAGGGTTATCTAATTCTTCAGCAGTACTGGGAATCAGGTAATGTTTTCTTTTTTTTATCTGAGAAAATTAGCTCTGAGAGGTTATAAAACCCCCCAAAGGAAACACAACTCATAAAAGAGGGATAGTAAATGTGTACAGTTCCCCCTTTTTATGCAGGTGGTACTGTAGGCATTTTGCATTTGCAAACTTCCTTAATCCAGATATATTCTTTTAAGGGAAGTTTTTTTTTAATTGAAGTATAGTCAAGTTTACAGTTGGTCAATTGCAAGGTGGTTTTTTTAATTTTGAATTTTTTAAAAAAATTATTTTTTGACGAGGAGGTAATAAGGCTTATTTGTTTATTTATTTCACTTTTTTTTTTAATAAAGGTACTGGGGATTGAACCCAGGACCTCGTGCATGCCAAGCGTGTGCTCTAGCACTGAACTGTACCCTCCTCCCCAAGGCATGTTTTCTTATCACCATTATTTTGCAGCTTAGGAGCTCAAGTAGATTGGAGTTCAAATCCAGATCTTCTGATCCCACTGTGGTTCTTTTCAGTATATTCTGCTGAGGGGTGGGGAAGCAGTTCCTTTGTTTATTCCTTTATTCAGCATTTTTGAGCACTGACTTTGCATCAGGGCCTGGCTAGGTGTTGGAAACAGAAAACAAGAAATGACCCTTTTCTGCAGCGGATGGAAGCCTAGACCAAGAGCTACCTCAAGGTCTTGGGGCTTGCGTCACCAACACTGACTGCTTCTTGGCCAAGAACTGGCCGCAGACCTTTGAGAAGCTCTATGTGCAGAGGAGCTGTGTGACACCATGCTCTATGACTTTCAGCTCTTTGTCTTTGGGCTTCATGGGGAGGTGGCTGAGCAGCTGCGCACCAACATGGCCTTCAAACTACGAGGACTGCGGGACGGTGGAGAAGAGGGTCGAGGACTTCACTGAGTCACTCTTCATTGTGCTCGAGTTCAAGTGCCTGGATGGGGCCACCAACAAGTCTGGGGACAAGATCTGCCTCCTCTGCATCCCATTTAAGAAGGAGGACTTGGTGGGACTGGACACAGACAGCAGGTAAGTATCTGGAGGTCCGGCCACCCTGGCTGTGTGCCAGGTTGCTTACCTACGTCCAGAAAGGGATCGGCAAGAAGCGGGGCTGTCTTGTAGCCAAGGGGGGAGGGAGGTGCAGCCCGCCGGTTTTCAGACGTTTAAAAATGAACCCGCCTTTGATTCAGAGAGATCCTTTTAGGGTTAGTGTGGACACTTAACTCCCCCTTTTCATCTAGGACCCCTGGTGGGACCCCTGGAGTTGCTGTCCAATAGAGTAGCTACAGCCACTGATGCTGGGAGCGCTGGGGAGGAGGCTGGTCTGAGCTGAGATGTGCTATAGGTCAAATGCACATCAGACCCTGAGACTTGTCTAGAAAAAAGAATATAAACTATCTTGTTACTTTCTATATTGATTACATGTCAGAATGATAGTATTTTACATACAGTAGATAAGTAGGATTTGTTCTTAAAATCATTTTCAAATGTTTGGGGTTTTTTACCTTTTTAAATGTGGCAACTGGAAAACTTTCTTTGCGTGGCTCGCGTTTCATTCCTGTTGGACAGCCTGTCCTGGGGCAGTCTCGTCCCTTTTATGTATAGGTGAGGCACTGAATCCTGAGAGCTGGGGGTGGAGCCTGTGTCTCCTCTCCTGCCTCCCAGGCCCCTCTTCCCTCTAAAATACAGGATGAGGGAGAACTGGTTGAGCTGCTTGCAGTGGGGAGTCTTCTCAGGTGACTCCCTCACCCTGATTCCTGCCACTCTCCCCCACAGCCCTGCATGGCAGTCTTGCCAAAGCAAGCATGCACTTTGCTCAGAAACGTGCTGAATTTCCTTGTGCCTCCGTTAGTTGGCTTTTTTTTTAAAAGCACATCTTGCCCTTTGCTTAAATGCCATCCCTGCTAGTCACCTCTTACACTCATTCTTCCAGACCTTGTCCATATGTTGCTGCTGAGTGGATGAACAGAATATAGTATCTCCATGTAGTGGAGTATTACTCAGACATAAGAATGAATGAAAAAGAAAAAAATGTAAGGGGAAAATGAGAAAGGCCACCTGCTCTGGGAAGTCCACCCTGACTGCTCAACCCACCCTTTTCCTTAGGAAACCCCACCCCTTGTACTCCTCTCTATTTGATAGTACTTACCACCTTCTACTAAACTATAACCTTTAAAAAAAAAAAGAGATGCTAATACCCCTTCAACATGGAGGAGCCTTTTTAACAGCATGTTAAATAAAAGGAACCAGACACAAAAGGCCACATATTGTTGATTGCAGTGATCTGAAATGCCCAGAATAGGCACATGGAGAGGCAGAGAGCAGGTGATGGTTGCGAGGGGCTGGCTGGAGGGGGAATGAGGAGTGAGTGCTTATGGACAAGGGGTTTCTTTTGGGGTGATGGAGTGAGTGTTCTAGAAGTAGGTGGTGGTTAGGGCCGCACAACCGAGTATACAGAAAGCTGCTGAATCGTACCCCTTTAAGCAGGTGAGTTTTATGGTATGTGAATTATATCTCAATTGAAAAAAAAAAACCCTCAGTCAAAGGACAGCCTCTCCTGGGTCTGTCAGAGTCTCCCTCTGTGCTGGAGCTGCCTGTGACATGATTTTCTCCTGCAGGAACTGTCTCTTGGAGGTGGGAGCAGGAGGCA